GTACTATAACAAAGTAAATATTACACAGCTCTGCCAAGAGCTGTGTTTTATGAGTTGTCTGTATTYGCACTTTTGATTATTTTTACTCTCATCTGTAGGCTAAGATTTAGAGAAATATGCACAAAGACACCATAAGGGCAATGGAAGATGTAAATACACGAGGAGGGAGGAAGGCTACTTGGATMACTTGGTCATTTGCCAGGCTCGTATGTCTTTTTTGGGTGCACCACCAGTCAGATGTAACCACTGTGCCACTGTGCAGTGTCAGACAGCAATAAAAGGTCCTCATGATGATTAATCAAACTCCTGATCTCAAAGCATATTTCCTTCGATGGAGAGTCCCAAAATACTCCGCCGAGTCAAGTATTTCTACAGTTGTAATGCACACAAACCACCGACTGCTTGACCATGCCAAACAAGCTCAAGGCAGCCATAAATCATAATAAAAATATTAGCTTTGATTTTACCCTTTGCTCACTAATAAGACGTCTCCACAAACAGAAACCTGATCAGCCCTCAGCATTTCTAAAAGGAAAACCCCAATACGTCCCAAGCCAGACCTATTCTGGGTTATCTTATTGTGGTTCCCTGTTCAGTATGAGTGCCGCTTGCTGTAATTATGAGCAACACTAACCAGGATCAGGCTGTCCACAACATGGTTCTGCAACGCAGGCTCTCTTTTGACATATACTCCTCCTGAGAAGCCTTGCCTGGGAAGTAACCCCACCACCACTCCTTCCTCTCCCCCACTTCCACATGTCCGCAAATTACAGGAATATTCGGTGACTCCGCTGTGAGAGGGCACGTTGGCTCGAGCTGCAGACTTTTCACAGTTTAATCTCAGCCTCTGACATTGCTATCAGGGCAGGAGGTGGCTGGATTTGATTTAAACCTGCAGGCAGTTACAATGCACCGCCTGTGGAAAACATTACCGCTTGGTGTGATCCTGCTTTTGGATCCTAATTTTCGTCTCCTCCTCCTAACAAGCAGAATGACATTTAGAAGGTCCCGCGAGGCAGGCTGTGACCATGAAAACCACCTTTCTGCCCCACAGCATGTCTGTCAGATAGGAGAGAGTGTCTGGGTGGAAAGTCTCCAGGGCAGAACGGCTGACTGGTTTAAGTGCTTTTATGTGCTCGAACTGTCAATATAAAAATCAGCCACAAGGTGATTTTACACTTGTAAACCAGTGTGATTTTTTATTTCTTTATTTTTTCTTTTGCTTCTGTTGAGATTCTTTGACTCTTACGTTCAGCACACTCAAAAGACGGATGACATCAGCTCAACTTATGCCTTCCCTGTCAGTTTCCTAAAACAGACCTTTCTGAGTCTTTATCCAAATGGGAATAAATTTGCACACGATTTTCCACTTATTTGTAAAAGGGAACAAATTTGACTGCTGTTAAATAAAATGGCTTAATGAGACGAATATTTCTTTTTGTGAAACAGAAACTTTAAAGAGCATTTTTAATGGTGACCTTGCGGAGAGTGCTTCTAATATTTCTCATTTGCTTCTACAACTGGCCACGTGTGAGCTGATTTGGAATCAAAGAGAATTGCTGTTTCTGCTGAGAGGGAAAGTACGAGAAATGCTGGGGTAATAAGGTTCGTGGAATGTCTGACACACTGACTGGTTGACTGGCTGCTTAGCTAATTTTCCTATGGTGCGTTCACACCAAACGTGATTTCAGCATCAGGAGCAGCAGGTTTAAATACAAAGTCTATGGTGGATGCGCTTCCAGCAGCGTRGGGAAGGGCTGCGGCGCCTCAAGCGTGATTAGAGCAGCGCGATTTGAACGATTTGAACGGTCTGAGCGTTCGACGCGCTGAGGCGCAAATCGCTGAAGTTAGAAAATCTGAACTTTTGCAGCTCGACGCGCCGCGTCAACCAATCAGAGAGACTCCACTGTGTGACGTAGAGACATATTTCCCGACGGGACAGTTTACTGAATGATGTCCACTAACCTGAAACAGATGGAGAGGAGCTCTTTAGCTGAAATCGAGTGCCTGCAGTTGGTGTCCTGACAGGAGATATCCTCACCAATGCGTGGCAGCGACTCATCAGACTGGACTCGGGACAAAAATAGTCCTGAAAGCGAACTGTGAGTCTCTCCCGCAGCTCCTGGATGATGAAGCTCAGAATGTCTCTGAATTATCTGGTGAATTAATTATGAATTAATTATCTGATGAGCGTGACATGCTCTTGCTCTCTGTAAATAAAGCAAAGCCACTTCCTCGTCCGACATTAAACAGAGCCCGACAGAGGAGGGAGGGGCGGGGAGGCTCTTCCCGTGCAGCGCTCCAAGAGCTGACCTGCGTCTGACCTCAAAAGTGCACAAGTGTCCAACTTGAAGCGTTGGCTGCGATTTTGAAGCTGAAATCGCGTTCGGTGTGAACACAGCATTATATATTTGCTATCATAGCTTTAAAGAAAAAAAAGCCAAGACACACTCTTTGCACATGTCAATTTGTACAGATTGATCGTGAATTACACAGTCAGGTATGTGAACATATCTGACTTTTTCAAAAACTCAGCTTCAAATTGATTTTACGTCTCAGAACTTATAGGACATAAAATAATAATAAAATAAATAAAATTAAATAATGATAATTATAATTATTCAGTGAGGAGGAAGTGTGTGTGTGGGGTGGGGGTGCAGTGTTTTGGCAAACAAGCACACCTGGGCCCGCTTATTTGAGTTTTTTTGTGAAAATGACAGATTTTTGAAGGTTAGGTAAACCTCCAAAGGGGTTGACATGTATGTCTTTGTCCCCACTATAACATCACAGAAGCAAGGTTGCATAGCAAACAAACACGACCACAATCCGGACAGTCCCGTCTTACATTTCCATTACAACACTCGTGTTCTGTATACATTATATTAAACATGTTCAACCTTTTTCCCTCTCCAGCATTTCAAGCTTACACATGAGACCGATAAACCCCAAAGTGTGCCCAAATGTGCTCTTTTATTGTTTGCAGATATACATTTTAGACTGCTTTAGAAACTGCGTGCCGAAATAACTCAGGAAAGTGCGCTCCGGCATGTTGTTTTAAGAGAAAAATTACCTCAGTCACTTTATTTCCTCTTGCTTCAGACTCTCCCCATTTTCCCTGCTAACCAGAACCACATTAACCCTGCCTTTTGAACGCAGCGCACACAGAGCGGAGCTGCATGTAGAAATGAGCTGCGTGGGTGTATGCAAACTCAGGATGTAAGTCTCACTAATAACTGTAGCCTTTTGGTGGGTCACAGAGAAGCCATGCTTTTATATGGAGCGAGCCAAACTTAAATAAACCAACAGTTTGACACTTATTGTCCTGGTAATCTGGGTGATTATCTTGTCAAAGTTAATTAGAAAAATATTGATTTAGGCAATGAAGCTGGAATAGTTTTCCTCTTTATGTCTTAACTGAATGTTGTCATTTCATCTCAGTTGTCTGTACATTTTGAAACTAATACATTATATATGGTTTTTGAATGTGTTTTATTGGCAGTTTGGAAAATGTCTGAAGAGCTCTCGATAAAATTGTTGTGGTTAGTGGAAGACTGTGTGACAAACTCAAAAAAGGTAAAACAAACATACTTTATAAAAAAATGAGCAGGAGTTTGCCTGCAGCTCAGATTAACGAGGGAAAGAGGAACAGGTGAAGTGGGCGTGGCAAACTGGGAACCCAGAGGAGGCTGACTGAGGATCAAATTGAGATGACACAGGGGACACAGAGAAGCTTTTTTAAAACCAGTCTGCTAATCGCCAAAAAAAAGAAAAAAAAGGGAAAAAAAAGAAGGAGCTTTAAGAAAAGGACATTATTTAGTCTTAGATCCATACTCCAATTCAGAAGGTGGCAGTATCGCACCTTTGTTGTTTGCCAACCCCCAAACAAAAACAAGAAGAAGAAGAAGAAGAAGAAGAAGCAGACAGAGAAGCTGAAAAGCAGGACTTCCTTCAAGTGAGAAAATAACAACACAAAAACTGAACAAAAATCCCAAGAACAAAACACAGACTGACAAAGATCCAAACTGAAGGGGAGAACAGAAATGAAGGAAAACAACACAAGGAATAAGGTAAACTCAAGGACAGAACTCAAACACAGATATTCCAAAATACAAAAAACAAAAAAAGGATGATAAACTATAGCTAAAATATACACATGGTGACACAAATGGGCTGTACTGTGTAATTTATCTTCATTGACTTTGAAAAAGTCTCCTATAATGCCAAAGCCTTGCCATAATTTAGTACTGTTACAGTATTTTAAAACTTAAAGTTGTTTGTCGTGGAGTACTGCAGCAAACAATTTAAAATAAATATTGAAAAAATAGAAAAGAGGGAAATAAAAAGGCAATTTCGGAGCCGAACACTGAGAATCAAAGGGTGACAAGGACAAAATCTTGCATTGTAGGTGTTGGATATGAAACCTTTGGCCACCTTTTGTATTTAATACAGTATTTTTACACGTATTGTGAGGCTTTGTTTACCTTTCTCAAACCATTTGTCTTTATTTAAAATGTACACATTACTGTCCTCAGAGGAGTGTCACTGATTTTTGAGATGTAAATGAACGGATGACTTTGGCCTCTTTTTATTATTTATGCAAAGATTGTTTATTTTACCTTATGTTAAGGTCTCTGCTGCTCTGGACTGCATACACCACTCAGGAGAAATCCCAGGAATGAAACAATAAAACACAAGCAGAGCGCCGTGAAGAGGAGTTTTTTTTTGGTACTGTTTTTGAGTTGTGACCACACCAATTTGCCTGAGATGCTACATCTGTCCCTTAACTTGATTAGAAAGGTTTCACTACAAAAACAGCTGCCCTCCTTGAAAAAAATATAATCTTATAAAAAAGCCCATAAGCAGGTTACAGAGTTGATTTAAATAGAAGTAATTGAATTTTGTTCTCAACCTTATTGTTGCGAAATTGAAAGAAGTAAAAGGTTTTGTTTGGTCACCCCCCTTTGTAGCTGGATTGAGTGGTCGAAAATGTTTGCCATCAGGTCAGCCACAGCGGCCCTTAGATCCCCGCTTTGGGACCAAATTGTTCGTTTAATCGAGCACCGTACCTCTCAAAAATTAGACGGCCAACATGTGTTTGTCAAAGTCAGACAATGGATAGAGGGTAAAGCTAAGGAAGCCAGCTCCATGTTGTCCTGGGAAGCACACACACAAACGCACCGCTTGTTTTGAATCCCTAAATGTTTATTCAGATCCTTTTGTTGTTTAATGTTTCTTGTCAAGAAACTATAAAAGTTTAAATCAAAACAGAGCTTGTGCTTGGAGGGAGGTAGTGGGAACCATTAACGACATCGCTGTTTAATATTTATGTGTGCATATTTGCACGCGGGTGTGTGTGTCATTGTGTAGAGACTCCTGCACACGTATTAGATGCTGTTCCGCACATGTGAGTTGCGGTCACGTTGGGACACATTCACATGTGTTCAAATACAGGCGGTCTGTTTACTGGCCTCAGGACAGAACAGTGTCCCCCTGCTTCGTGCTGTTAGTCAGAGCTTTGAAACTTTTTTTTATCTTTTATTAGGAAATAGGTTGAGTTGGAGCTCAGCGGAGACTCGCGCACAGACAATAGTGCATTGATGCTTGTGCTGTGTCACTCCTACCTTCTCACTCCCTCTGTGCCTGTAGGTGCTGACAGACTGATGGGTAGCCATTGTTCCACATCTGAATCGGAGGAAGGCAAGCTGTGGCCGCTCCCCTGCTCTCTTGTTTCCGTCTTTTATGTCTTCCTTCTCTGCTTTTGAGCTACATCTTTTAATTCCTTGATTGTTTTCTATTTCACTCTCTCTTTCTTATTTTTTTTATTTCATTTCAATGATCTTCTTTGGAGATGGGCACCAGCTGGCCAGCAACCTGGAAAGGAACTGCGGGTAAAAAAAAATGGATGGATGATCTTCCTTGTTTGTGGACCCACTCATCTCCCACTTATTTCCCCTTTTAATAACTTTGACTTCCTCTCTTTCCCATCTCACAGTCTCCTCCCTTCCCCTTTGTGCATATCATTCCCGCTTTTCCTCCCTTTTTATCTTCCTACTGTACATATCCGGGACCCGGAATGCCATGAGCAACTTGGCAGGTCACATTGTTTGCTCCTTCATCTGATGGCTCCATCTACAGATTCACTTTATCAACACTGTCATCATTTTACGACATTTTTCCCTTTCTGTCTGCTGCTCTTTTGCCCGTCTTGATGTCATCCCCTCCATTCTCCACAACTATCTGGTCTCATCACCCTCTCCYCCCAGAGGAACACCAGGCTGAATGTGGGCAACATCATGGTGAAAAGCATAAAATCTAGAGCTGCAACGATTAATCGATTATCCATCCATCCATCCATTTTCTGTACATGCTTCTTCCTTTTCAGGGTTGCGTGGGTCACTGGTGCCCATATCCAGCAGTCACAGTGCGAGGGGCGGGGTACACCCTGGACAGGTCGCAAGTCCATCACAGGGCGATTAATAGACAACTAATCGATTATTTAAAAAATCGGTGACTAATTTAATAATCGATGAATCATTTTCTTCTTTTTTTTGTTCTTTACTTTGTTTTTCTCTCCAAACTGCTTTAACACCTTACCCTGTCACATCTGCCTTTCTGTCCTTGACACACATGGACAGTAGTGGTAACTGGGGTAGGCCGTGGACATCACAATTAAACAGACAGATTCTGGTATCATGGCTACCTGACAACGGAGCTCAAAAGTGTGGGATCATTTTAAGAAAATGAAAGAGAAACCTGTGTAATATCTGCAGAGCAGAACTCTCCTTCCACAGCAATTATTTTTAGTTAGCATATAGCTAAAATCTAACCATGGTTATATAATAGCAGCTGCATTCTGACGTGATAAGCTGTTTGTTTTATATTCAATTAACGTATGATCTGATTAGTTGACTAATCGAAAAAAAATAATCGGTGATTAATCGATTTTAAAAATAATCGTTTGTGGCACCCCTAATGAAATCAGTGTTTCCCACAGAGAAAATTTAAAACCCGTCTCATTGGTGTCAGATTAGAATAATTGCTCCACTCTGTTATGAAAATAAGTATTTATTGTTTGCTGTGTTTTGCTGAGGCAAGCAGTTAGAAGGATTTCAATATTCAGAACTGTTAAGACCACCTAACCCAAGATCAATTCAAGACCAAGACCAGAGTGWATTAAGGCTGAGAGAGGACCAAGCGTTTTAGGGGCTGGACCAAGTCGAGACCAAGACCAGAAAAAAAATGGAAATAGTGCTCTAAAATATACAGCATACTGTACACATGTAGATAACTTAATATGTTATTGACTAAATCTCTTTGTGTGGGGGCTGGGTAAAGAATTTTGGTACAGAGGCACTTTTTACATCCAATAAAAGCAAGAATGTTACCTAATAAATTGGACATTTGTGGCAGTTTAGTGATGTTTCCACAGTTGTGGAATTGACTGGTCTTGAAATAAAATCCCGAGTCTTCAATGTCCGAGACAAGACCAAGTACAAATGTGGTTGAGACTTAGACCACCAAAAAGTGGTCTCAACACTGGTCTTGAGACCAAGACAGGTCTCGAGTACTACAAAACTGATGTTCAGTGTAGAAATGTTTGAGCATGAAGCATTTTCTTTTCTTATAAGAATCTATAAGAACGTATAACTTCAGACTTTGTCCTTTTTGTTTATCAGAGCTCAATAGCTTTAAGCTTGATTTTTTTTACATTCAGAACACCTCAAAGCTACATTTTACCCTGGTTTTGAAAATCAGATGCAAACCCCGCTGCTGTGTTGGTCACATTCTGAATCGGATAACATTTACTGCAGATGCATRGCTTTCCAGATGTTTTGGCAACTCAAATCAGATGCTGAAGTGCTTTCAGTGTCACCAGCACTGCACCAACCTACCTCAATGTCATATTCAGAAGGAAGGCAGTGTCGACTGAAATCATTGCTGCTACAGGAGTTATCTATAGAGGAACGCGTGGAGAGTAATTATTTATGAACAATTGCAGAAAGAAATTGTCTGCTGACTGGCTGCTGGCTCAGTGGTGTCTCGCTCTGTGAAGGCAGAGATGGAAGTAACTCTGACAGGCGAGTCAGAAGCGCGGCTATGCAGTTAATGATTTAGATTTTCTTTTTGCGGTTAAAAGAAATTACATACAAATGAGAAAGATGAGTGAGTTGATTTTCATCTWCCTGCTCCACGTAGTCATATTTTTGTTTAGTAAAAAGGCAGAAAACGGTGATCCTAAACAGTTCAGGCTGCAATCTGCCTTCGCTCCACTGAGTGGTAGTGTTAAGTCACAGTTCAAAGCTGAAACAGACTCCCTTTATGGCCATAAAGTCACAGTCACACCCACCGAGACACACAGCTGCTTACAGCTCTGCTGGACAGAATATGAGACAGACACACAAAAACAGGCACATGCACGCAGTAAAAGAACAATGTCCTCTGTCTCTGACAGCAGCAAGGGACACTTTACAATAGCACTGGTATGAGGGGAGAGAGGAAGTTGGCTTAACGAAGCGTCTGTGAATGAAAGGTGGCAAGGTTCAGTCACTCAGAAAAAAGGTGCAGCCAGACCAGGCCAGTCTCTGAGCCACTCTTTGTCCATCACATGAACATTTAAAGGGGCTTAATATATAAACAATGCATASTTTTTCWAAAGTAATAACCCACACTTTTATGMGGCTCCAAGTGTAAAGTAAAATGTTAAGAAATGTCACCAACTTTTAATTTTTTGTGTAAATTCCTTGTTAAAAAWTTTCCACCAACATTTTATGGTTTTTTTAGTCCACTGTTCTTATGATGTACTAATTTGTACTAAATGCTAGATTTAAATGGTAAATATATGTAAATACTAAATTCTAAAGCTAAATGTCATCTAATGTAAAAGTTAAAWGTTGAAATCTATAGGTAAACATTAGCAGCGGTTAGCATTAGCTAACCAGGATGATAACATCATCCTGCGACAGACATCAACGCTAACCGCTGCTAACTCTACTAACTTTGCTAAAAATGTCATATAAAATCTAAATTCAAAATGTGTTCATTGAAAACAWTATGGATGGTGGTCCAGCAGTTTTAAGTGTAGCTCAGATACTGGCTGCAGCTCTAGGTTTGATGTCATGTAGGGAAACATTAGTTGAGTTAGCTGTGTTAGCGGTTGCTATTGACTGTGTCCAAATTCAGGCACTGCGTCCTTCGAAGGCTGAATTTTTCAGCTGCTTACATCACTACGCCTCGCAAAGGTTGTCCATATTTAAAGACTTTCAGTTGCATCCCACAAATTCATTCTCCTTTTGCCCCGATTTGAGGGTTGGTCCACCCTATCCCAAGATGCATTTTGGGCCAACCCTTTAGTTCTTCAAATATTGCCTCTAAGCAAATTTTGGTAATGTATAATATCAATATGTTGAAAGTACTTTCAATCAATTTTTTTTGCTTCTTTTTAGCGTCACGCCATTGCTATGTGATGGGACATGTCAGGGTAAGGGCGGAAAAAATAAATCCACAGCCACTTTCTTCCAGTTTTTACATATGGCAAAGGACCCGAACCACCTAGACCGGGGAGACCGGGTTCTTCGAAGGATGCAGCCTCTGAATTTGGACATAGCCATTGTGTCAGGATGATAATGTCACCACAAGTGCCAAGCGGCAAAGGCTGCATTCCATTCCAAAATACTTAAAGGTGAATTTCAACATTCACACCAGCCATGTTTAGTCCGCTTTATTGAACTCTAGTTCTTTTGCCTGAAAAGTCTGGTCTGTTTGGGGAGSTGTGAACGCGTAATCAAACTGATTCAGACCAAAAAAGTGAACTCTGGTCCTAGAACCACTAAAATTTGACMCTACTTGATGTTATTTTYTAAAGAAGGAAGTTGCGCTCCATGCCTTCTTCTGAGGTTTTTGTGTCGATTCCTTCAGTGAGTCTTGGTTTGAATTTACAAAGTGAGCTAAATGAAAATGWTTTAGTGACATTTTTTTATCATCTTATTTTTTACGTTTTACAACACTTTTACATGACAATGGAATCTTATACACAACAATGTGGGTCATTTGTTGTTTTATCTTCAAGCTTCACATATAAACCGTCCAACAGCCTTGCATAACTGCAACCTGATCTTGGTATTAAATTATGTGTTTGAAAAAGTCCTGGCCACACTTAGCCCTGGATATTTTAAAGTGTCTTAAATGCAAACACTACATTAGCATATCTGTCCCTGCTTTATTTCATGTTTTTCAGTTTTGTTATGGATACTCTACATTTTATACATTCAATGCAGCATTTCTGAGCTCATTTGTCTTTCATGGAGACACAAGCCTGCTCCTGGAACACCGACGCGTCATTTCATACCMTCAGACAGAATCCTGTTAACTCCTGAAAGGCTCAACCCATAAATACAACGTGGTGTTGAAYCTCCGCTACGAGACTGATGTCTGTTTTTACATTGTGATTTATTGCTTTGAGGACAGCGTTTTCAGTGGAAGTTATTGACTGTGTTGGATACAAGGACTCCCKGCATCTGGCTGCAAAACATGACTTTTGCATATGTTTGTAGGCTGAACAAAGATGTGCTCAGGATGGTGCATCACCAGACTTGGAGCTGTGCTTGAGGTCATGTGGAGAGTTTTATTACTGTACTGGATAAAAGTTCTAAGTGCAAGGTCTTTTCTTTTTGATTAAATTCTTTCAGTATGATATGATTGTAACTTTCCTAAATCATGTTATTGGAATTTTGATGCAGCTTTTATGGTAAAAGTGAAACACATCTGTAAAAAAGAAGGCAGAAGACAAAAGATTTGAAACTATAAAAGTATTTTAGGCAGTAAGAACAAAGCCGGTTGTTGCAGTTCAGGTGAAATTAATGGAGTGGTTTTCTTTCATTTTTAGTTCCTTTTCATTTTATTTGCATGTGATTTATATACTTGCATGGTTGGAGCCCTCTCTCTCTCTCTTTCTCTCTTGCATGTAAATCAGCCGAAACAGGGTGAAGTCTGCTCGTTTTTAATATACCTACATTTAAAAAGAATGGATCAAATTCTGATAATCTGTGTTCAGCTTCTGTTTGTCTTGATTAATGTAGAAACTGTAAACTCCTCCTCTTTAATGACTGCGCAACATAAATGCTTTATGGGTCTCTAGTARGATAAAAGCAGAGTTAACTGTGAACATGATGTTATTACTGACTAAAGGCTCCCAGCACTGTTCACTGTAGGGGCATCATGCTCACAGCTGGATCAGTTTTCAATTTTAGGAGATCACAGCAGCAGGACTTAGYAGCACGTTGATCCGTCAAACATATGGAAAATCAATTTTTTTGCCCATTTTTGTGTTTTTATTAAAATGCAAAAACATCTAAAACACTGTTATATTCTGTTAAATGAGTGTTTTACCCATGTGTTAATCGAACCGCAGCACCTTTTAGATAGATGTTTGTATTCAGCCTTTCTGTCTCTGTGCTGCAGCTGTGCAGCTGCTGTCTGGGTATATAAGGAATGGATGGATGTGACGTGCTCATTTTAAACTCTTCCATCTTTTTCTTCAGCACTACTGGCATTTTAGGTTAATGTCTCAGATTGATGAGAACATAAAGTTACRATAAAACTGCTGTAGCAGCTGGAACTACCCCAGGAACCTTTTATCTGAAATTGTTAAGTCACCTGGAAGCTTAAAAAAAAAGACGCTCAGAACTTTACCCAATCATTTTTTCAGGTTATCTTCCTACTTTTGTGAATTTTCAATGACTTTGCAGCTCAATTTGAAATACATAATTCAAAGTACAATTATTTTCAATGTCAATTGAAAAGCAAACCAATTTAAAAGACCTCGTGAATTTGAGTGCCAATAGATCGTGGAGCAAAAGGAACACTTCAATCAATACCTGAGCCAGTTTGAATCCTCGAAATAATTGGTCACAGAGGAGAAAACAAAGGTAGCAAATGTGGCGAAGGTGTTCACTGGTAGAAAGAGCTTTTGGGTGATCAGCAAAATCATTTCAGTGTGAGTATGAGGAGATGGTGAAGCTACAGCTTCCAGATGTGAAGTGGGCAACCTGCCTGTTGGGACCTAAACACAGGAACCTCTCCCTGATGCCAGACTTTAATCAGATCCAGGGGAATCTCCAAATACTCAGGACAGAGGATGTGTGTGTTTATTTGTTTCTGTGTGTGTTCGGTTTTGAGAGGATAAARATGCTTCTGCACATGTGTTTACGGCATGCACAAATAGTTCCTGCACGAAGGAAGAGGAAGAGTTTGCAGATTTTTTTCCCCCAACTCTGTTGATTTGTCATTCACTGTGAAGAAAAGCAATGTACTTCTCAAGTTTATTGATGATGCCCTTTGGGATGAGACTAAATGTTATTATGGGAAACATGTAATCATGTTAATCTGTGCACATCATTTATAGGAAAAAAAGAGAGGAAAAATAACCAAAGAGAAGCATGGTATTTTCTCCAAAATATTTCAATCTGATTATGAATCAGCCCATGTGTTTATACAATAATCACCAGGTCAAAAGACATTTACCGCATCCCTAATGATGGTTTTTGAATTCAAATTCTTGCTGATGGAGCTTCATGAGCCGGTGTCAGAGGCAATCAGAAAAGAGTTTGCAGACTTTCAGGGAAGACTTCCAGAGTTTGTCATAATCTCGAGGGCTTGGCGCAATTTAAGACTCCCTCTATAGCCCTACCGCTATCATTTGAGGGCTTTGGTAGGTTAATGGCATTTCCCTAACTTTCTCTTAATGCATTTTGCAGTCTTTGATTCATGCACCAGTGAGCTCTTTTGACGCCCATCCATACTATCTGCAGGGACATCATGTCTGGACATTTATCAATTAATTGCACCCTTCTCCCGGGTGCCATTGTGAGCCACTAATTTTTTTTTACCAGTGGATGAGTGATGCATGCATGTCTTCCCTGAATTCCTCATGATGGGCAAGGGTAATTACTTACAGTCAAAGCTCTGACTAGTTTTAAAGATGCTTTGGCAACTCATGGTGATCTAGCTCACTTTATATTTTGAAGATGAAAAATGCTTAAATGGCTGCCACTGAAACGAGGAAGTGAGAACATTTATCACCAACTTTATCACCAATTTAAAACATTGTAAAGGTTGAACAGCTGAAAACCCTGTTAGGAATCCTGGTGACATCACTGATCAGCATTTTAATGATGTCAGATAACATGTTTAATATAATGGAATATCCACTAAATAATAATAATAATAATAATAATAATAATAATAATAATAATAATAATAATAATAATAATAAACTTTATTTATATAGCACCTTCCAACAATGCCTTGCATCGACCAAAGTGCTTCACAAGGTAAGACAAATATAATCGGCTCATAATAAATCAGTACAAGCTAATAACACTATTACAATATAAGTAAAAAGAGTCATACTATTTGTAATCATTGCAGTTTTTATGGAAAATTTAATGTGAAATTACAACCAAAATGCACCGATTGATGCCAAGATCTAATGTCACTCTTTCRCTTTTCACTCAGCCCTAACCCTACATTTAGCAAAATTACACCAGGGGGTAGAGATGTCCCATTTTTTTGTGATGATGATGAGGTGAAGTGCTAGGACTATATGACACTTTAAAATAAGCCTCACTGTAAAGATACATTTTATTGTTAGACTTGTAATATTTCCTCACGAACCTTACTCTAGACTTTAGAACATTAAACCCAAAAAGACAAAGCAGGAAATGGTAACCAATGCTTTTATTGTGAAAGGGGAAGGAAGTGTATCTGGTACGTCTCTGTAGATTGGACACATGACAAGTTATTGTTTGCAGGCTGGTACTGGAGCAGTTCAAGAGCAGAATAGTTTCTTACATGTTTTTTTAACAGGTTCTGGATTCTAGGAGGGTTCCAGGAATCGAGGAGCTGTTTRCAGAAGTTTCTGGACTTTTCAAGTAAATTGTGAGTATCTTGGTGAGCGGTGGAGAGTGGACAGGTGATTATGAAGAAGCTGAGATCATTTCTCCTGTTTTCTTGATGGGAAGTACAGGCAGAGGAACACACCACTGACTGGAGGAGTTCCAGGATCAAGCAGAGGATTCTGCACAAAGAGAACAGGCGAGAGTTTTTTTAAATTCAAATCTTTTCAAGGAGTTTCACAAAGAACATGCGTATAGAGGGCACAGGACTGTCACAGTGTGACATTTAAAGGTCCAATGAAGACTCATGGTTTAAGTCAGCCTTAACTAATTCAGATGATCCACAGCAGAGGTGGAACCAGCACCACCTTAGTTGATGCCCATTTCCAGCTCACCCTGCAGGGACTAAATTGTTAGGATCTGTTTATTTACAGTTTTTGGGTTTTATAATTGGGTTTATTTAGGTTCTGTGATGCTCGTGTTTAGATGTGTTATTTGTCTTTTTAATTTCTTCAGTTCTTTGTTCCAGTACTCGCTCCTCCACAGTTAGTTTTATGAATCCTCAGCCAGTTCTGCCACACCCACTTACACCTGTTCTCCGGCCACAGCTGCAGCCACTTCTCATCGGCCCCAGCTTATTTAGTTTCTGTCTTTACTTCACATTCAGCTGAACATTGCACATTTTCACACATCATGTCCAGTCCTCCTCCTGCCCTTTTACATACCTATAGCTCCTAACTGCTGCCACATATGTTTTATTTCTTGAGGGTTTTTTTGTGCCAGTCTGCATTCTTTGGTCCAACCTCCTGAAATGGGGACATTAATGATATTCAGGGCCGCTAGTTCTACTGCTAACTATATACAAGACACTTTGAAGAGCAAGATGGACAGATAAACAATGAGTTTCAAATTAGACATATTGAGTTGGGCTGTTCAAGAAGCAAGTTGACTCCATGGCTATTAAAAACAACATCGACAACAACCCTGGTGAAAACTGCAACCAGTGAGAAAGCTTTTAAYCTGCTTATGCTATGGTTGATGCAGAAGTTAGCCAACACATGGATAAAAACCTGCTTCTTAGGCAATCCAAGAAAAAAAAAAACGGAATGGAAAAGATATTGTTGAAGACCATGGCAGCAAACGATCCGGGTGCTGTGATGAGTTTTCTGACACTAACTCTGAAAGTTACTCACTTGGTGACACTCAGACAGKTGTCAGTAGTGGTGATGATGCTGTTGTTGTGAATAAGGAGGTTAATGAGGCAGTCAGGATGCTTTGAGAATTCAAAGACGCTCTTCCTGGATGAGCTAGAAGGAGGGCAAAGGGAGGAGGATGATGAAATGAAGAGAAACACAAAACTTAGGCACTAAAGCTGGCTGTCATTATGAGGAAAAAACAACACAACTGCACAACACCTCAGCTGAAGATATATCTGAGTACATTTTGAGTGCATTTGGTCTGGGTTCAGACTGATATGTTGATTGTGGTTTTGGAGAGTTTTTCACCCGATTTCTGGGTATCCTAATTTTCTGAAAGGACACATTTTGTAAATACTTTTATTTTTTGTCTGGCCTGCACAACATTTACATTTTTAAATCGTGCATATGTTGCACAACATTGCCAGACCATTTGTTGAAGCATCCTGCGAACCCCTTACCTGCCCTCTTACTTGCCATTGCTCGGGCTAAGGGGCACGAGTCGATGTTTGATGCTAATTTATTCAAAGTAGCCAAGAGTGGAGTGCAATTTAGCTGTTTCTGTGTTAGGGTGGGAAGTTTGAACCTTTAGCAGGGATTTAAAATTGAGACAAAAAGTGACAGAACCACCACAGCGATAAACGTATGGTGACGAGTGGCACTCGGAAGGTTTTGTGCAACGGTTTGTCTGACGTGATGAAGCTTTTTGCTGTGCATTTGTGTGTGTGCATGGATAGGTTTTTTTGCAATATTGTAAATAGCTGGTGCTGAAAGCTAAATGATCCACATGTGCATTAACTCACAGCTGATAACAATTACAGTGCTGAACTGAAATAAATTGCAAACACACACTGCAGTGCACATGCCTAATACAGTTATTGTGGTAGATAGACTTTGATCTTAATCTCTATTGTTAACTCTTAAATAACTGACGTGATTATCATTCTTCTGTTGTTCTGCATGCTCGTGATGCAGCTCTGCTCAAAACTGTGATGTGTGTGATTGTTGTAATTACACGGGATGTGCTCTCCCACCCATATTGAGACCATTGCATTTATACCCCTCTAAGATAAGTAAGCAACTGTTAGCAGCTCGTGCTTATCAGACAAAGTCCGACATTCTATTTAGGTTTTTTGTTTTAATCCTGGCTGCAATTTGGCATTTCAATAGGTTGCTGGAAAATAAGTGTAGGTGCCAAGCAGATGGTTCAAATTGATTCCTCTGTTCATGCTGATGGAAAAGTTTATCCCAAATGACGGTGACAGAATCAGCGCTGGCAGGGCCGCAAAGACGTAATGATGAATATATTTGTTCCGTGCAGTAATTGCGATGTTGATTGCAATGCGAAACATAAATGCACATTTGTGCTTAAAATAGAGCAGCATGCTTTGTGTCGTATTTAGATTTAAAAAAATACCGAAAGTAAATGAACATTTACTTTTATTGCGCGTCGTGGTCAATTATAACTTTCCTTCTCCTCCAAAGTCTGCATCTAACCCCCTGTAAACACGGAGATTTCGGACAGCTCTAACAGCCGCGGAGTTCAAACAGGCCCGAAACGTCAAAAACATATCACCCTGAAGGAAACCTCTGGAGTCTTACGTGTCTGGATTTCCTCATCTTTCACGACTTGTGTTGTACCCTGTCAAAAGTATATCACATCAATGACGCTGAGTCAGAGGCGAGTAAAAGCAGGATCAGAACTCTGTCACACGGCAGCAGCGGTCCCCCGGTGTACAGCGGGGGGAGGGGTCAAACGTGGGGTGTCTGGGATTAGTTTTCTTAACTGGGTTTGAGGTGTTTACGTGTTTATGATACCTCAAGAAATACGGCAAAGTTATGCAAATAACCCAACGCTGTGACATTTACATTTTAAGCACTTAGTAACTTAGGGATTTGGGATTTTAGTATCTTGCACAAGAAGACTGTGGTAAGATGTGTAAATGTTATTAATCTCTCTGACTCCTGCTGAAAAGGCCTCGCCGGAAAGAAACGGCGGCACAGTAAATGCAAGGATTGGAAGAGCTTTACAATTTTTTCTATTTGAGGTTGTAGCTTTAATTTTTTTTTACTTTGTGCTCCTCATTAGTTAACTTTCAACTAACCTTTTAAAGTGTCATGGGAAGGTTAATGGAGGTCATTTTATTTGACAGATAAAAAAAAAATCCCAGTTGTCAGTTATATTGCTGTGTTGTGATGTTGTTTGTCCACCACAGACCGAGTCCAACACTGCGCTGCCTTCATTTGCTCTTTGCTGCTCCCTCTGTGTTTATACTCCCTCCTCCTTGACCACCCATTAACAACCATACTGAGATAAAGCAACTTTTTACAAGTTAAAGCGGTTTATTCAGCACTTGGGAGGAATCAGTATATTGCTTTTTCGTGCTCCACATTTGCATACAAATTAATGGGTGAAGGGGATTTTATCGATCTTGCTAACCTAATGGTTTTCTTTTTCGTCACTCTTAGAGCCTTACCCCTTTTTTTATTAAAGTTTTGAGATGTTTAGTCAAGTCTGTGGTCATCATCTGCTTTCAAACACTGTTGAAGTCATTGATATGTTAACTTGACATGACATCTTATTTGTTTTTTCTAAGGTTAATGATAATTAATAAAAATATAGAACAAAACAGAGACGGATTTACTTACAGCTTACATTTTTTGGGGGCTTAAAAAGGCATTTAAGATGCTTAAGTTAACTTCTTTGCTTTTTCAGGCCCAGAATAAAATCAAATAAATCTGTTTTAAAATAGTGACATATGCGCTATGTGTGGGTACAAGCTCAGGCAAAAACACATAATCATAAAATCTACACAGTGAAATTACCAAAAGACAAAATTCTACTGAAATACAGAGTTTAAAAAAAGATTTAGGGTCACAGTAAATAATTTGCACTTTTCTAAAATGTGTTTTTAGAAAAATGTTGCTTGTCTATACTTAGATTTAAGATTGATCATTATAAGATCAGAGTAGAGCCGCTGCTCCTCCACGTCGAGAGGAGCCAGTTGAGGTGGCTCGGACGTCTGGTTAGGATGCCTCCTGGACGCCTCCCTGGTGAGGTGCTCCGGGCACGTCCCACTGGGAGGAGGCCCAGAGGAAGACCCAGGACACGCTGGAGGGACTATGTTTCTCAGCTGGCCTGGGAACACCTTGGGATTCCCCCGGATGAGCTGGTCCAATTGGCTGGGGAGAGGGAAGTCTGGGTCTCTCTGCTTAAGGCTGCTGCCCCCGCGACCCGACCCCAGATAAGCTGCAGAAAAGGGACGGAGGGACGGACAGATTGATCAACTTCAGCCCTTTTTTACTGCTTCCTGTTTCAGTCATCCAGGATGTTGCCTTTAATTTGTTAGTATAGATGACAATTTATGTGTCACTTTGAACTGTACCTTTTAAACAACTAATAAATCACTGCCTAATGCGCAATAAAAAAGACAAATTTCATAGATTTCTGTGTGTTAACGTCAGTGACACTGTTATGACAGACCTAATCCTGCTCATTTGGTTCCATGAGGCAGGTGTAATAAATGTTGACAGTTWTTTGCAGATAAAGTCTCTGATCCCAGCTCTTCACGCAGGCATGTGGTGTTATCTGACTACCTCTGGACACAATCTGACTGTCTTCTTGGCTCTGTGTGGGTCGCTCTGTCTCGCTCTTCATGTTTTGGGTTACAGGGTAACTGGAGACATGTTAGTGTGTGGCGTTCCTCAATCCCCAGGAGGACTTCAGCTCCATGTTATGGTTTTCATCAGTCGTTATAAAGATGCCCATGTGTGTATGGGTGTGTCCTGTTCCGGCCAAGCACTGCCCATTAGTTTTTAGCCGCTATAATTCAGTTGTTCTGTGATGGACCAGGTTGTTGATGGCAAATGGTGTGTGTCAATGGCTTGATTTAAACACTGCAGCAGGTTGGATATTTCAGATCAACATATTACCTCAGATCTTCATTCTGCTAAACTTATTTTCAACAGTTTTTCTTTTTTTCTATGACCTTTACTACATTACA